CTTGAGCCTCAGCCTATGCTGCCTTCAGAAGACTGAGTTCAAGTTCCATAGTGCAGTGGACCACAGTTGAATTAATTCCACCCTACCTTTTATAATACCACAAGCACAGTTGGCACTAGAATAAATTTCTGGAAGGTCAATTATGTGCTTTTAAAAAAATAATAAGACAGCATTCTTTAAGAGCATGAAATGTATACCCTTGATTTTCTCCATTAGAAAATATATTATTCTTGTTTTATAGACTTAGGAACAGAATTAACTTCATATTTTGACAGCTTTTGGAGAGATTTGAGATACAATTTCACATAATGAAGAACATAGGACCGGGGGTGTATGGATGAGTGGAGGAGGGTGTCAGTGTAGGGGAGGAGAATGAGAGTGTAGGGAAATGCAAAGCTCTGACGCCTGCTGGTGATCCCCCTGCCACCCTTCCCGCAGAGTAGCAAGTCCGTGGGAGGACACTGTGACACAGCTGGGAAGTCATTCTGGATAGTAACTTTTTTTTTTTTTTTTTGCTCCATTTTGTTTCACATTAGTCTTCTGACAAATGAGAATAAAAAATTGTCGCATTACCTCATTGGAACTGTGTTTATAAGTTTTTATAGATATCATCATTATTTATGTTAAAATAACTCCCTGACGACATGATCATGAATATCTTGTTCCCTGCCCAGAATGCTACATAGCCCTTGTAGTCCATTTGATTTTTATAATTATTTGTAAATGTTTACTTCTGATATTGATAAGGTTTCAAAGCCGTTCAATTCCAGCTCATTTTGTTTATTTTATTTCTAAAAGGACCATTTGGCAGGAAAAATTATCTTGAGTACTTAGTACAAAACACTTTGGTTGTTACAGTTAAGACACTATTTCATGCTGGCCAGATACATCTCCATGTGCCACTTGGCAAAATGTGCAGGAAGACCTTGTTAGATGTCCTTCTATATTCCTGTCCAGTTGAGATTAGAGAGAAACTAGGGCTTGGCACCTGTGGCTCAAGTGGCTAAGGCGCCAGCCACATACACCTAAGGTGGTGAGTTCGAATCCAGCCCGGACCTGCCAAACAACAATGACGGCTACAACCAAAAAACAGCCGGGCACTGTGGCGGGCGCCTGTGGTCCCAGCTACTTGGGAGGCAGAGGCAGGAAACTCGCTTGAGCCCAGGAGTTGGAGGTTGCTTTGAGCTGTGAAGCCACGGCACTCTACCCAGGGGGATAGCTTGAGGTTCTGTCTCAAAAAAAAAAAAAAAGAGATTAAAGAGAAAGTGAGATCTCTTTTTCTTCGTCCTCAGGACTGTCACTGCAAGCAAAACACCATGCAGAAAAAGCCAAAGAAATCCTCATCGCATCCATTGTGCCTCCCTATAACGACGATACAGATGTTTTCAGGTGCTCTGTTGAGCTTTTCCATACCATGGGGAGAGCCTTCCTCGCTCTCCAAAAGTATCCTTTTTCCTCTGATATTTACAAATACTGCTCATAGAGTATTTACATTTCATTCTCAAGGCCAAATAAAAAGCTAATAGATGAAACAGGAAGGGCAATAAGAAGTACAGGAGCTGAGGAAGTGCAGGATCTGGGGTCCTTAGGACCTATAACCAAGTGGAAACTTTCCTGAACACAATTCAGATTCAAAGAAGCTTCAGAAAACTTGGGGAAAGCAGAGAGACTTTCAAAGGAGCTACTACAATGTGAAAGAATTATAAAGGAAGAATGGATAGAAATTCAAGCCCGGGTCAAATTGTCATTTGGACAGTAAGTTTCAAGTTTTGGACTTGTATTATATACATAATAGCTGGAGGTTCTTTGCCAGCAAAATCTGTCTTCAGGTAGGAGGAGCTTCTCTACAGGGCTATGTCCACACCTCTGCCAAGGCCATTGTCTAGGAATAAAAGAAGAGCATGGTCGTGTTAGAGCAGCCCCAACCAACACATCCATCAGTGATACTTCTCAGTGTGCGATGCCCTCATGGCCCCAGAGTTCTAATCATGATTCTCTCAACTCTCTTCCTGCCATCTCTCCCTCACCCGCTTTCCTTCTTCCTGTCCTTCCTACCTCCCCCCTACTTCGCCAGTCTAAAATGCTTCAGTAGATTGATTTTTATGATTAGGGCTTCAAAGGAGAACAATCTTAATCATATCTGAATCCATGATAATGAGAGGATTGTTCTTTGTTCCTCACCCCACTACACACTTACCAAATAGACCCAGCCGGAAGAGATATAAAAAGAATATGGTGGGTCTTGGGTAGTTAGTACATTTTTCCCTCACCAAAGGCCAACCCTAAGCTAAGTCCTCAGAGTACTGGGATGACAGAGGATGCCTACACTTTTGGAAAGATGAATTTATAGGGAGAGGCTTTTCTCCAAAAGTTTATTCTAAAATAGACAGAGAATCCCAGTTTCCCTACATGACTACCCTTAGCCAAAGCCCAAGAATTGGGTTTACCTTCATAACCAGACTGCGTGCAGAGGCTGATTCCTCAGAGAACCAACAGAATCGTTATAAGATGGGTATTAGAGAAGAGCCGCAGGAGATCACACGTAACGCATCCATGTGAATGGAACCTGGGAAGGACCAACTTTGACTCGTGCTTTTAAAGATTTTTCTTCTGTGATCCTCCTTGCTAATTAGTTTTATTTGGGTGTTTGTTGAACTGCAAGTGCAGAGCTCATCTGTCACACAAGCCCTTTGGTATGCTTTTTAAAATTAATTATTTTCTTTCATCTCTAATCTCCACTCTCATTGTGCCCCCCAACACACCATAATCTATTTTAATGATAGTTTCTGACTTTAAATATGTATCTCTGAATAATAAATAGCATTGTTTTTGTACTATTATTTACATTTTTAAGTTTATAAGTTGGCATATATCTCATTCTGTTTCTTACTTTTATCACTCATCTCTTCTGAATTGTTGCCTATACTTGAGATCGTTGCTTCTGGTGCCTCCTTTCTTTATTTGCAATAGCCAAGTGTTGGAAATAGATCAAATGTTCATCAAAAGTAAAATAGAAAAAAAATGTGGTTTGTTCATACAAAGGAAATTATCAAACTACTCCTTTGCTTAACATCATGGATGAGTCTTGTGAACATAATGTTTAGGGAAAGAAACCAGGCCCACAAGTCCATTTATATAATGGGAGGAAGAAGAGGGCTGTTAATGACTGGGAGGGCTTTCCCAGTTTACAGTCTTCATGCCCAGAATTAGGTATTCTGTCCTGTCCAACAGGAAATATACAAATCAGAGGTCTAAGACGTAGTATTTGTTGCATTGTTGAGACTTGTTAATTGTTGCTCAGTGTTGCTGCAACATAGGAGTAAATAAATCTCTGCCAGAATCTGGCACATCTCCAGAAGTGCTTTCCAAATTAGCAGTACCAAGCCTTGCCAGCAGATGGCAGGCCTTGTACATATCTGTGCTGGATAACCAACAAGAATTTAACATCCCAGTGTGTCCTACAAAGCTACTTTTGTGTTTAGCAAAGTGGTTTCAAACTTTGCTACTTCTTTTCATCCTAATTCTTCACCACCAACGTGCATGTTTAAACTGAATTATTTTCATGCAATTATTTTGTTTGTTTCTTCATGGAAATGTTAATATTTTGCCCAAATTGATCTGCTTTAGAAATTAACAAGGCTTTGGTTTTATACACTTCTGTAGTTATGCTTGAACCACGAAGGTCTTTTCTTTTGCCAAGTCTTGGAGGAGGAAGGCCAAGATAATTTCTCAGGCAGCTCTCAAAGGATTCATGTCCCTCTTAAAAGGATGTCTTATAGCATAGCCTTCTCCTCCTTCTGCCTCTCCTTTTATGGTCCCCATCAGGCCAGCCCTGTGCCTTTCTCCTGGGGCTGACAGATAAGTGCTAAAGGGTGACTCATGCTCTGTGCCTTCCATCCCTGACTACAGCCTGAAGCTTCTTCTCTCCTACCTCTCCTCCTCTATGCCAGCACTACCTCATTCAGTAATGATATCCTATTGTTGGAGAATGAATATGTATCATATGTTTCTTTGTACACAGTTATATTTCTTTAAATCTGGTAAAAAAAAAAAAAAGTTGCTAGTACAAACAGGAAAATTTTCTCCAGGATTAAGAATTATTTTCTTTATTTGTTTTTATTTTTTATTTATTGTTATTTCTTAGAGACAGGGTCTTGTTCTGTCTACCAGGCTGGAGTGTATGGTACAGTCATAGCTCATTGTAACCTTGAACTCCTCTTGGGCTCAACCAATCCTCCTGCCTTAGCCTTTCAAGTACCTGAGACTATGGGTGTACACTACTATGCCCAGATAATTTTTTTATTTTTTATTTTTTTAGAGATAGGGGTCTTGCTATGTTGCCCACGCCAGTCTCAAACTCTTGGCCACAAGTGATCCTCCTACCCTGGGCTTCCAAAGCTCTAGGATTACAGATGTGAGCCACCCCACCTGGCCAAGAATTATTTTCTATACTGGTTACTGAGATACCCCCAGAAACAGATAATTGTGTTTGCAAAGACACAGGCATACCCACTGCATGCACATATACATGCACACACAGACACATATACAGAATCATCTCTGCATGACAGGAGGATAATGATTTATTGAAACCGCTGCTCCAGAACATGTGACTTACCCCATCTCTCTCTGTGACTGTTCCACATATCTTCTCTGGAGTTTCCCTTAGCTTACCCAGCAAGCACTGTGCCTGGCATGGCTGAGCTAAACTTGCTCAGGAATAAGCGAACACCTTTCTTTCCTCAGCATCAGGTATTTCTAAATGGTGTGCCATGGTGTCATGACCAATGAAGCCATTAGAGTCAGAAGCCCTGGATTCAAATCAGTGTTCAAACTTCCTAGCTGTAGGAATCAGGCAAGTCTTATTCTGGAAGGCCTTGAAGCCTCACTCATGGGTCCTGTTAGTGTGGGAATGATAGGACCTCTGAGGTTTGCTGTGATTAATGGATACCACGTTACATCTAGACACATGGTAGACCCTCAAAAGCAAAAAAGAAGGAAAGAAAGAAAGGTAGCTATTGTTGTTAGTATCTAATTGAACATTCTCCTTCCTGAAATTTCATCCAGGAAGTGATTTCAATCATGTACTTACATCACAGATTAAGATTTTGTACTTCAAGATTGCTCTGGTGTGCACTATTTTACCCTGTATCTTTTACCTATGACTTGAGAAGGCTAAACTTCGTTGTCTGTGCTGCCCTGGACTATCTAAGCTAAAATAAAATCAGGTGGTTTTACATGCTTACTTTGTAAAGCTTGATTTTGTTACTTTGTCTTGCTCTCAGGCAAAAGATTCCTTGAAGGCATGAGATTTGGAAAGTGATTCTAGCACAAGTTTTCCAAAGAGGAAGGAATGGGGAAGCTTTCTCCTTTAGCAAAAACTGCTTGGGAAGGAAGAGAAGGTCATGGAGAAGCGAAGTGGCAAGTGGGACAAGTATGATCTACCTGCCGTCACCTCTTTGAGATGGCAGGATTCTACTAAGTTTCACATGCTTCCCCATTAATGCCTCTCAGTGGGCATTAATGCCTCTTCAGTAATACCCTGTTAACATCCCACTGTCTTCCCTGAGTTTGTCTAGTAAGTAATTCCCAAATCTAACTTTTGCTTTCTTGGCTCAGCTATTTAAAAAAAACTGTAGTTCTTACCATCACCTAGAGGAGGCCCTTGTCTAAAGTCGCATTTCCTCTGCCTTTGTCTGTTGACTATAGAGGCTCTGAAAAATGTGGGACTTTGAATACTCTGCATTCATCAGAGCCTCTATAGTCAACAGACAAAGGCAGAAGAAATGCAATTTAGACATCAAGGGCCTTGAATGCTTGTGCTTATTTAACAAAGAAGAAAATCACTTGTTGGGGAGTACTCTTCCTAATCCTGTATTCCTATGGTTGAAGAGATGCCCATCCTAGAAAAAGTGCTGTGTACTTCATTGCTAAATATTACTACAGTCACCTTCAGAGTCTTACCCCTGGGAAGCTATATACCAACACCAGCACCATCCACCCTTCCAAGCAATTTTGGAACTTTTTTTCTGGAATGGCCATCAGAATGTCACATTACCCTTGATATCCTGAATATCACCAAATACTTCTTTCAATATTTCCTATATCTTCAGGTAAAGAAAAAGTTATTGGGGCCAGATCAGGTGCATAGGGAGGGTGTTCCAGTATAGTTATTTGTTTACTGGCTAATAACTTCCTCACAGACAGTGAGCTAGTGCATTGTCATGATGCTAGAGCCATGAGTTGTTGGCAAAAACAGCAGGTTATTTTTATTTTCCTCATGCAGCCTTTTCAGCACTTCTAAATGGTAGACTTGGTTAGCTGTTTGTCCAGTTGGTACAAATTCATAATGAACAGTCCCTCTGATATCAAAGAAGGTGAGCAACATCATTTGGATTCTTGTTTTGGACAGATAGAACTTTCTTTTTTTTTGGCTAGGGCCAGGTTTGAACCCACCAACTCCAGCATATGGGGCCAGCGCCTTACTCCTTGAGCCACAGGCGCTGCCCCGGATAGAACATTTTTGATCATAGAGAATTGGCTGGCTTCCACTGTGCACTTTGACACTGTGTCAGGGTTGCATTGGCACACCCATGTTTCATCACTAGTGATAAAACAGCCCCAAACATCATCTTGCTTCTCCAGAAGGTCTTGACAAACACTGATGAGCTCCTTCAGGACCATTTTTGCACATACCGTTCTCATGCCATGATTTTCAATTAAGATTTCCTAACTGTTTCTCTGTTGTTTGCTTG